ACTGCCGGGAACTGTGCTTCCTATTGTGGCTTCACTCCTGCCAATAACGCTGATCTCTGACCTCGTGGGATGGAGCACTGGTTTAGGTCGTTGGGGCTCATCTTATTTCTAATCATGTAATGGAACTGCATTAAGGGATCAGAAGTGTGCTACCTCCACCTGATATTTCATCCATTCTTATTTTTTGAAAAGACGTTCCCAGTAATAGAATATCAGCTCTGCAAAGACAGGTGTTTTGGTCTGGTTAGTCACTGCCGTGTGCCCGGTTTCTGGAAGTGTGTGGCAGGCACTCAGACACTTGCAGAACGGACAATAGTACAAAACCTCATTCATGGGCAAAGCACCTATTTTTGTTTAATGGAAGGTACTGAATAGAAAGATCTGATTCCTTTTGACTTATAAATTGTTCAGTGGAAGTACATTTGCAGATGTTTTCAGGTTATTTCAGGTGCGTATCTCCCGTGTGACGGCGTCACAGTGTCACGGTCACCTGGGGGTGTTGGAACGCTGCCGCTGTGTCTGTCTGAAATAAGTGACGTGGAGTCCTTTAGGCACAGGGTTTGTGCAGCATTCTCATGGCTGTTTTTAGCAAGTGAATTTTCAAAGCTGAAAAAATGGAGTTAATTGGTTGAACGAGTACCCTTGGAATTTAAAAAGAGCGGTGCTAACGAATTTATTTGCCAGGCATTCGGTCCCATGAATCCTGATGGGGTCACCCCAGGTTCCCGGGCAGCCTTTCCTCTTCGGGACTTGGAAGTTGAGCGTGAATTGCTTCTAGGAAGACAAGACGGTGTGAACAAGCAGCAGTTACCACCAGGCTGTCCTGACCCGCGTGGGCGTGAGGCTGGCTGTGCTCGCGGCAGTGGGCAGCCCAGAAGGCAGCCGTTCTCACGCTCTTTGCTCTCAGGACCCCTCACTCCCGTGCACTGTGGAGGGCTCCCTGGAGCTTTGGCTTACGTGGGTTGGATGTGTCAGTATTTATCACATCACAAATATTCGTATATTAATCCATTCAAAAGTTACTTCAGTAAACCATTTCATGTTAACATAAATAACATTTTAATGAAAATAACTACTTCCCCAAACAGAAACATTTGATGGGAGAGTTGCTGTCCTGCGGGTTTACACAGGCCTGATGTTCAGCTTCGCGGAAGGCGGCTGGACTGGTGTGTCTGCTGGCGCACTGGTCGGGGCTGCGGGGTCTGACGGAAGGTGGCCTCCGCGACGGCCTTGGAAAGCAGGCCTCCGGAGGGTCGTGGACATGCTCTCTCGATGCTACACAAAAGCTCACAGGCGGGGCGTGTTCCTCGGTGGGGTGGAAACCGTCAGTGGGCTCGCGTGCTGTAAGCCACCGGGTCTGTGTGTTCCGCCTGTGGAGTCGGTCCATCACCCGGGTGTGCCCTGCGTCCCCGCGGCACTGCCCTGGCTGAACTAACGCCGAGCCGACAAGATGACATGTAGCATCTTCATCGTGTAGCACTGTCCCAAAGATCACATTGGTCAGTACCCCTACCAGTGCCGTGAGGAACCTCTAGGTTTGGGGAAGCTCTTGAGATCTTGGTGATAGATCCAAGTTTTCCAAAGTTCTGACTTTGTTTGTTTGTTTGTTTGCTTGAAAGCTCTCGTTTTATCAGTGACAACAAAGATTGCCAGGTGTTTGCCTTCCAGGTTCTGCTGCATTTACTCCAGGATTTTCTTCCTAAGGCACAGATCCGATCGTGGCTCTTGGCTGGCCCTCCCTCCCTCCATGAATAAAGCCGTTTTCTCGGTTTGGCCGCAGGACTTGGATGACTTCACCCCCAGCCCCAGCACTCCGACTGGTTCCAGGCGTGTTTCTTTTTTTTTTTTATCCTCACCCGAGGACATTTTTCCATTTTTTGTACAGATAGAGTGGGAGGGAGAGAGAGGAAGAGAGAGAGAGAGAAACATCGATGTGAAAGGAACACATCGGGTGGCTGCCACCCACACGACCAACCAGGGCCGGGGACAAACTGCAACCGAAGTACATGCCCTTAGCGGGAACCGAACCCGGGTATCTCCGGACCGCAGGCCGACGCTCTAACCGCTGAGCCAAACCGGCCAGGGCCAGGCGTGTTTCTTTTTAAGTGGCTGAAAACAACGCAAATTTATTACCTTACAGTTCTGGAGGTCAGAAGTCTGAAATAGGTCTCCCTGGCTCAGATGGAGGTGTCGGCAGGGATGTGTTTCTTTAAAGCCCTTGAGAGAGACTCTAGTTCCCTGTCTCTGTGGCTTCTGGGGGCTGCCTGTTCCTCGGCCGTGCCCTTGACGGGCGCTGATGGTGTTTGTCTCATGTTGCGTCCCTGAGACACTGGCTCGCTCATTCCCTCTTCATCTTCTAAGGACGCAGGAACATCTCCCCATCTCAGGGTCAGCTATAAGCACCTTCATTCTTTTTGCAACCTGAGTTCCCCTTGTGGACTCTAACATATTCCCAGGTTCCTGGGATTAGGATTTGGCTACCGGGGGTGGGGGCATTATTTTGGCTGTCACACTCCAACCTCTATAGTTTTGTATTTAGCTCCCCCCAGTATGTTGGGTACAGTCATCCTTTCTAACATCACCTCATCGCAAACGCCTTTCCTGAAGGCCGTAGATGGAGCTGACTCCATCTTCCACCAAGACAGCCCCACACGTGACAGCGCCCGGCGGCCATCTCACCCCGGGGTCTGCTGTCAGTCTCCTCTGTTGGGCTGTGAACCTGGGCCTTATTCATCTGTTTCTCACAGGGCCCTTCTGGTACTTGGCACGATGGTAGAGCATCAAGAAATAGCAAACTATTAGAGCTTAATTGCCAATGATGCATCAGATAAGGGGTTAATCTCCATTATATATAGAGTGCTCATACAGCTCAACAAAAGGAAGACAAAGAACCCAATTAAAAAATGGGCAGAGGAGCTGAATAGACACCTCTCCGAACAGGACATACAAATGGCCAAGAGACATATGAAGAAATGTTCAACATCTCTAATCATCAGAGAGATGCAAATTAAAACAACTATGAGGTATCACCGCACACCTGTCAGAATGGCCGCCATCAACAAATCATCAAACAACAAGTGTTGGCGAGGGTGTGGAGAAAAGGGGACTCTAGTACACTGCTGGTGGGAATGCAGACTGGTGCAGCCACTATGGAAAACACATGGTGTTACCTCAAAAAATTAAAAATTGACCTGCCATTTGACCCATTTGATCCCACTTCTAGGAATATATCCTAAGAATCCTGAAACACCAATCAGAAAGAATATATGTACCCCCATGTTCGTAGCAGCACTATTTACAATCACTAAGATCTAGAAATAGCCCAAGTGTCCATCAGTAGACGAATGGATAAAAAAGCTGTGGTACATATATACAATGGAACACTATGCAGCTGTAATAAAGAGAGAACTCTTATCATTTGAGAAAACATGGAAGGACCAGGAGAGGATTATGTTAAGCAAAATAAGCCAATCAGAGAAAGACAAATACCACATGATCTCACTTATTTGTGGAGTATAATGAACAAAATAAGCTGGTGAACAAAATAGACCCAGAGACATAAAAGTAGGGTACAGACTGACAAACCTCAGAAGAGGGGGACATGGATAGGGGTGGGGGAGGGGAGAGATAAACCAAAGAACTTATATGCATGTATGTGTAACCAGTGGACATAGACAACAATGCTAGGGGTGGGGGTGGGATCAGGAGGAGGGTGTCAATGGGGAAAAAAGGAGAAACATCTGTAAAAAAATAAATGAATAACAAAATAGGGATGATTTTGGACATTTGACTATGGGCTATATTTGAGTGAATGTTGAGTGTCTTTGTTGTGATGATGATGTCACAGTTATATAGGACAGTGTCTTCCTTGGGATTTACCAAAATGCTTAGAGGTTAAGTATCATGGCTTAGAACTCACTAGCAAATGGTTCATGAAAAAAGTGTATATTTCTATAATGATAAGGCAAATATGGCAAAATGTTAAACATGGGTAAATGTAAATGAAGAGTATATAAAAGTTCATTTAACTTCTCTGTGGGTTTGGACACTTTCGAAATAGAAAGTGGGAGAGAATGAAACCCTAACGTGCACTGGATTGCACGGATGGTGTCGGTGGGAAGGAACGGGTCCCCTCGGCGGGAAGCTGGCCAAGACTGCGTCTTCACTGCATCCCGCATAGTGGTCCTCCTCTCTGGGTGCCCGCCGCGTTCAGGAAGCTTACTCAGACCTCTCCAGCTCCGGGGGAGTGCGTATGTGCACAGTGGAAATGACACGGTTGAGAAAGCAGAGGCCTTTCTGTGCCACTCATCTGGAAGGTTCTTCCTCGTGTGCCTCGGGGAGTGTGAGCTCGCTGCTTTCAGACAGTGGCCCCCACTCCGGAGCCCGGGGCTGCAGGGCCACCCCACCCACGCGCCAGCGGTGCACGTCCCACATTGAGAACAGCAGGTTTGCTCAGTGCCCACGGGGCAGGCGGTAGGAGATAGAGCCCCCTCACGAAAGGTTGATGTGCAGACTGGAGGATGGCTGCTTCCCGACGGGACCAGCTAAGGTTTTCTGCCCCTACTGACCCTGCTTCTCAAAGCCAGTGTCAGGAGAGGGTTCAGTCCCCTTCGTGGTCCCTAGTAAGGGCCTCCGGGCTCTCGCATACCCACGTTTATGCCCTAGATGTATGGACTCAGCCTGTCTGGCGGATGCTTTGATAGCATCTTTATTTAAAATAGGATCTTCCATTTGTAGAGTGATGTGGTAGAACCTCTGGGTTCGAGGCCAGCTCATCCGGTTTCTGTCTTCTGAATTCCTCACTGATGCCTCTGCCTGTGTCTGCTTATTTCCTGTGACGTGACCCTGCCTCCCGGCTTTCATCCCATCTTCAGTTGGTGTTCCAGCAGGGATGTTCGTCCTGGTGCTGAGCCAGCTGGAGCCATTCGTCGTGTAACGGCCACAGGCGTGGAGATCCTGGGGCCAAACCGGTTGTCTGATGTCTCTTCTTTGCCTCTCAGGAGCCTGAAGCCCCCAGCTCATCCCTCCTGAGACATCTTTGCTCCAAGACCCAGGCGATCGTCGGGTGACAAGGTGACGGTCCTCGCATCATAGCCCAGGTACAGTGTGCCTCTCCGCGCCCAGCAGGGTGGCCGTCACTGTTGTGCTAGAGTGTATTATTCACTGGGACCTCTGGTAGGTTGTTGTTCTTTTACAATTTATAGCAGCTGTGCTTTCCTAGAGTCACCTGGCACGTCCAGCTCATCAGAAAACAGGTTTGCCTTTTCACAGGGGTGGGTTTAAGCCCTACATTCCTTCATGCAGGACTCTTATTTTAAGTTTTGAGAGAGAAAGGAAGGAGGAGAGAGAGGGAAACATCCACCTCCTGCATGTCCCCTACTGAGGATTGAGCCCAAAGCTCGGGAATGTGCCCTGATCAGTCATCGAATGGGTAACCCTTTGGGGCACAGCACGACACCCATGCAGCTGAGCCACACTGGCCAGGGCAAACAGAACTCTCAATACCTGCAGACGGTAAGGCCTTCCGCACAAAGGCCTGGTCCCCTGGGCATGCTCCTGGTGCAGATGCCGAGGGCTGCGTGGTCAGCAGCATGCGGAGGGGCCTGTGCTCCAGGCGGCGGCCGCGGGCTGCTCCCTGATTGATGGTGTGCGCAGGGTGCCACGGTACCGCGGGCTGCGGTTCTCCCTTTGCACTTCTCAAGGTCAAGGCAGGCTCCAGTTTCTTTCTTACTCCCAAACTTTTCCTCCTGCTCTTTTTTCTCTTCCTCTTCTATTTCTCACTCTTTCACTTGTTCTGGGGTTTAGGCGCCCTAAGGATCTACTATAGATCATTGCGTGTCAGCCAGGTCCTTGGGCTCCTAGAGTCCTGAGGGACACAGGAGCCAGGCAGGGGCGGCGGGGTGGGGGGAGGTCAAGGCTAGCCAGTGAGGCTCAGCGTACTGTTTCTCTTTATTTAAAAACATTTTTTTTAAGTTATCACCCAAGGGTATTTTTTTCATTTTTGTTCAGAGAGAGGGAGAGAGAGAAAAATATCAACGTGAGAGAGACACATTGACTGGTTGCCTCCCGCACGACCCTAACCAAGGCAGGGACAAATTGCAACTGAGGTACGTGCCCTTGGCCAGAATTGAACCCACGACTCATTGGTCCACAGGCTGAAGCTCTAAACGCTGAGCCAAACCGGCCAGGGCCCGTTTCTCTTTAAATAAGAGTGGCCCCAGTTTTTTTGACTCTTGTATTGATTTTGGCATAGGATGTAGTAAGGGAAAAACGCTTCTGCTATTAAAATACTTGAAAGCTTTTGTTTTTTTATTTTAAAAAGTGGGTTTACCACATAACTTCATCATTGTCACTATTTTATTCATCTCAAGAAAATGGAGGTTGTGTTTTCAGGGGTGTGTGTGTAAAGAATGTCACCTGACTTCTGCCCTCCTCTCACGTCCTCACATTCCTTGGGGGCATCCGTAGTCTTGCATCCGAGTCTTGCTTTCCCAGCAGCTCCCAGTAGCTATACTGAGAAAGCTCACGTGCCAGGGATCAGCAGCCTGCGTCGCCTTCACCAGACAGAGGTCGTGGGGGCTCTCGCCAGTGCCTTTGCCACACGGCAGCCTCTCCGAGCAGCTGCCTTAAACAGGAGGAAGGCGGAGGGGCTCCCACAGCCCCCAGTTCCCCGGGCGTGGGGTCTATAGTTATAAGTGAGCACCTTATTATTATTTTTAAAAATCGTATTTTCTTTATTGATTTTAGAGAGAAAGGACGAGAGAGGGAGAAACATGGATGAGAGAGAACATTGTATGGCCGCCTCCTGCATGCCCCCCACTGGGGATCGGGCCCACAACCTGGGCATGTGCCCTGACCGGGAATCGAACTGGTGACCTCTTGGTACATGGGTCGATTCTCAACCACTGAGCCATGCCGGCCAGGTGAGTAAGCACCTTATTTTTGAGGCTGTTGCAACCTTGATGTCAGAAGCAAAGGTGCAGAGTTACCAGGTACACTTTCCCAAAGACAGTAAAATGCGATCCTTGCTGACAGGGAAGGGGAGGCCATTCCGTGGGGAGCTGGAAGCCACTGTAAACCTCGAATATTATTTTCCTCTTCTCGGCAGTTATTTAGTAAAAGTGCTGAAATTAGAGTAAGTTCCTTCTGCATTCTTCCTCCTCTTGCTGCCATAATCAAACGTGTCTTTGCTGTTGCAACAGACTTTTACAATTTCTTCCTCCGCTACCTAATCCTGGGCCGGCGGGGAGTGAGTGTTCACATCTGTGTGAGAAGCTTCAGTTAGGCTGTTCCATTTCTTGGGGTGGACAGTGCTGGGACAAAAATGTGTGGGGAGGCCCTGGCCAGTCCTTAGGTCCTTGGACACAGGTCCTGAACCATGTGTAAATCAGAGGGAACCACTACCTTACTGGATACCAGGTGCCGTCCTTGGGTGCAGAGATGCAGACCAGGTGCCTAACGGTGCCAGGTGGGCCGTCCCCCGGAGGGTCTGCAGTCTGCCCCGCCTGTCTGTGCGCTGGTTGATCATATTGTCTCCTCTGCCAAGAGGGTTGGGAGCTCTGGCCCGCTCCCCGCTGCATCCTCAGCACTGGCAGGGGTGGCACGGAGGGGGTGCGAGGCAGTGTGCCGATGGGATGGGTGGTGGCTGTCCTGTGCAGCGTGTGAGCGCCCCGAGGGCAGGGACAGTATGGAGCGTAGCACAGAGTAGAAACACAATTTAAAAAAACCACAATAATAGCCATTTAATAGATGCCATTTTTCCAGAAGGAGAAAACTACTTTCAAATCATTCAGCCTTAACCAGGAAAAAATAGTTTCAGGTGAAGTCAAGATTAGTTCAACTACCAAAGCGGAGGTGGTTAAGGAAATGTCGGGGCTCTGGTTTTTACTTCCTTGAAGGTTTTACGGGAGGAGGAACGCAGACTCACTATCTCCTGACTGCTTGGACCATGGGTTAGTCATAACACACCTCCCCAGACTCAGCAGCTCCGACAGCGCCTGGTTTCTCTGGTCAGGAGTGGGGCGGTACTAGGCTGAGTCTCACGTGCCTGCCGTCAGTGGGGTTTTCATGCGGAGGCTCGGCTGGGGGCATCTGTGTCCACGCTCCTTCAGGTTGCTGGCCAAATGCATTTCCTGTGCTCGCAAGACTTTGGGCCCCGGCCTTGTACTGGCTGACCTGGAGGCCACCTGCATGGCCACTGACTTCATCGAGCCAAGGACAGTCAGCTCGCAGGATGGAGCTCACATAATGCAGCGTCGCCACGGGAGAGACATCATCCCCTCTGCCATGTTCTGTTGATTAGAAGCAAGTCCCAGTCCCCACCCACACTCACAAGAACACTGGGGATGGCGCCCCGTAGTGTCCACCCAGGTCCCTTCTCCTGGCCCCTTGAGAGGAGGGATTGAACATTTTTGCCACCTGCTATCCATGTTTATGAAACATTGTTTTCCTTTTTTCCACAATTACCCACAATTTCAAATCTATTAAAAGATCACAACTCTCCAGGATCTGTTTGTCCTTCCCACCCACGCGGAGGCGCTGGCGCCCTCTCGGGCCTGCCGGGTGGCGCCCGGCTCCAGATGCTGCAGGTCAGACTGCTTCCGTGAGCTGCCTTTGCACCCATGTGGCTTTGTGTCAGACAACGTGGCCTGCATCTCAAGTGGCGCGTCAGTGAACTTCCAGGAGAGAGGCCCTCACAGTGTTTTCTGTGGCTGTGGGGCCTGCAGAGAGCACTTTGGGGACGTAAGTTATAGTGTCTGTTTTCAGCCTTTAAGAATTTCTGAACAGCAGAAGCCAGTGTTGTGTCTCCTGAGTCTCTGAAGACACGGCGTCGTGGAGCAGTAGCCGGCAGGAGAATCAGTTCAGCGCAGTCTGGGTGATTGTGGGTTGGCATATCGTGAGCTCTGGGTCAAGTGCAGGGAGCATGCTGCACTTTGGTTGATCACATCTCCTCTGGCACGAGGGCAGGGAGCTCTGGCCACCCCCGCTGCATCCTCAGCACTGCAGGGATGCATGTATGGTGCCAGTGCGGTCCGGGTGCCACGCCGCTCTCGCCTAGTGGGCATAACTACTTTTGTTCGTCTCTGGCTTCAGCCCTCCCTCTGGTGCGTCCTCTCCGGGTCTGTGGTTGTTGTGGAATTCACAGACCCTCGTGTAATTAGTTGTTTGTTTGCTTCTGATGCCTCAGTCATTTCCGACAAATGGAGTCCCATCCTACTCTCTAACAGGCTGCTCTGTGGCCACCTACCAGGATGTTTCCTCCAGGTGTATCACGTCGAGGACGACCTCAGGGGAAACGGTTGTTGGGCTGAAGACAGGTGAGGTGAACCTCGGCCGTAGGCTGTGGTGTTGCTTTCAGACTTGGGAGCCCTTCTTGGAGTGAGTGTCTGGAGTCTTGGCCACCTGTGAAGTACGGTTGCAAATTGGACAGTAAGACCTATCATAAACGTGGCATTTCCTTCTTAGGGGTAGTGTGTGCATGGCATGCACCACGGAGATAGTCCCTGGGTAACCATGGGTGTGCATGACGTGTCTCGGGGTTCTTGGAGGAAACACAGGGACGGGGAACAAATGGCAGGTAACTGTGAGAGGTGGTAGCATTGGCTTGTGCAAAAGGTGCTTTGTTAGTTGGATTGATGTACCATGGTCCAAGGTGAACATGCTGATTTGCTACCCAAAAAAGAAGGCTGAGCTGCCAGACCTGGCCGTTCTGGTGTCTCTTCCTCCTCCAGTCTGCCCTTCACCATGAGACCAGAGTAATCTTTCCCACATTATTTTGTTGATGCCCTTTCTTGCTTAAAAATGTTTCACCTCAGTAAAGTGTAAATCTCTCGCTGGCCATTCAGGACTCTCCTGCTCCTCTCCACACACCTGTACTCCAGCCTCGCCTGTATGTCCCGTGTCACCTGTGGCTCAGCTGTGCTTTATACCCCCACCTTCCCATCCCCTGAGATGTGTCGTGCTGGAAGGTGAGAGGTCACCCACAACATTCACTCTGTCCCTCACGACGTGTAGCACACAGTACGTGTGTATCTACAGGTTTCTCTATCTGAGCACCTGCCTGCTTCTGCAGAACCTGTGAACCACCCCGTTCTTCCAT